CCAGTTATGTACAAACTTATGTCAACTTTTAAGTTCAAGCTTACTGTTAAAATAATTGTACATTGTGGAAAACACAGATTATGAAAAACTTTGTTCTAAAAAGAGCATACAACCCATGTAATCTAAGTAGAAGTAAAAACAATGATTATAAATTATAGTAGTGTCTGTGTCATTTAGTCATGAAAGGAAGTATTCTTTCCAAATAAGTATATTATAAACAAAGAACCAGACTCATTTTACGTGCCAAAATTACTGGTCCCTTTAACCATTTTCATTAAAAGCTTGTAAAAAATGTATCATCTTTTAAAAACTGAGCATACTGAATATAATGTAGCCCTTGATAACTAAATCTTATGAATGCCAATTATTTAGTGATCTGTTTAGCAAACCATTTCCATGTATGGTGTGATTTCTTTTCTTTCTAAATTCAAGTGGTCCTATATTGGTACGTTTGTATACTAGTGCAGATATTCTGCTTCCTTTCTTATTCTCATTTCACATGCTCATCGGTGAGTTTCTCAGGGTTTGCCATTAGCTCCAGCTCAGAAATTCTTCCATTCAGTCCCATCTGTACACATACAGATAGTCACCAACAGGTGGCAGCTGGATGGGAGGGACATTCTAAACCAAGGTGTCATGTTTATTTCCTGCCTGTCTTTTTCACTGTCCCTTTGGTTGCTGAAATTTTCCTGCTTCCCAAAATCTAAAATTTTGGCTTGCTTTCTGGTTTTGATTTTTGGCATTTAATGTTCCTGAGTCAAGCAGGTTTACCCCTTTGGTTCCTAACTCACTTCTCTCATTTAGTATTCAAGTGTGCTTGCTAGACTAACTCAAACTCATTCCTTCCCCTCAATTTCAGTTTATAAATACTACTAAGTTCTTGAATATCTTTGACCATAGTAACCTCTTAAATTCTGTGAATTTCTAGTGTTTCTGCTTGACTTCCTGCCGGTCATTTACTCTGAGCTTGTGTTGTCCTGATCACAGTGTATATAAAACACTATTTGTAAAGCACAAATCTAGAGGAAGTTTGGTAGGGGAAACCTGATAACAAATCTTATTAAATCAGGAATTTGGGGCTGGGGGTGTGGTTTCAGTGGTAAAGCACTTGCCTAGCTTGAGGCCTTGAGTTCAATCCGTACTACCACAAAACAAGCAAATATACAAACAAATAAAAGCCCCAGAAATTTGAAAAAAAAAAATCAGTGTAATCATCTAGCTTTCTTTTCCTTTTTTATTTCTTTCTCCTCCCTCCTTTCCTTCCTTTTTTATTATTATTTTTTTCTTTCTTTTTTAAAGTGCTAGGGATGAATACAGGGCCTCACCCATACTAGGCAAATTCTCTACCACCAAGTTACACTTTCAGCACTTTTTTAATCAGTAAAATTCTTAATGTTAAAAGTTGTTTTTGTTGATGTTTGATTATCTATTTCTTCCATTTCATAAGTAAATCAGCCATGGACAGATGGAATGACCTGAACAGATGGAGTTAAGTTATAAAGTTATCAGGTTTATGAAATACTTAAACTTTTGAATAAATACTTGAGAGAAGGGTTTAATATTTTAATCATATAACAATTCAGATGCCTGCTATATTCAAAGCACTACTTTAGGTACTACAAGTAATGGATTTCATGATAAGTTTTTAAAATAAAAATTAAAGTATTCACATATAAACATCAGTGTACAGAAAATTAAGAAATCATGTCATGTCTAATTGGCACTTTTCATTGCTGAAGCTAGTTCTCTCATCTTGAATATATTTACTAAATAATACTATCACAGAATCATAAATGTTAAGCACTAAAAATCAGCAATATCAAATTACCTCCTGGAATTCTTATAGTGAATTTCTGTGTTCACAATATAGTGAGACCAAAGAATATAATAAGTCCATATTCGAGTAGTTCCATAATGTACTGTGATAAATAACATTTGGATTAGTATGTAGAATTGCAACAGGAATTACATTACAAAGCTGCCTTTAAATTCATAAACTTTCAACAATTCCCAGAAATCACATGAACTTTAATTTTTCACATCATAAATTTTCCACAACTCAAACCATTGTTAATAAACATTGAAATGTAACAAGCTGTAAAAATAGTAAAAGGGTATGTTTTCATCACTGTGGTTTTTTGGCTTTATTTTACTTTATTTTACTTTTTGAGACAGTGTCTTGCTATGTAGTTCAGGCTGGCCTTGAATTCTAACCCTCCTACCTCAGCCTCCAGAGTGCTGGGATTACAAATGTGTACCACCACACCACACTTGGCTTCATCACTATGTTTCTTAAATGTAAACTTTCCTTTCCTTTTTTTGTTGTTGCAGTACTGGGGTTTGAACTTAGGGCCTCGTGCTTATTAACAGGTATTCTACCACTTGAACTACTCCATTAGCCCTTAAAGGTAAACTTTTAAATAATGGTTGGTTCTTTTTCTTATTAATAGTTAGGGATTTCATAACAAAATAATGAGGAAATAAGTGATCATGTGTGTCTTTTGAGGCTTTTGTTTGGCTTTGAAGGCACAGACCTGTTACCCGCATTAAATCAAAAAGAAGAGTACATACACATACACAAACACACTCAATTATAAAACATTAATTTTTAAAATGTCATTGACCATATAGGGTAGATAATGCTGCATTGCACTGCGTTAAAAGGGAGGTCAATTTTCCAGCTGTAATCTCCTTTTCTCTTTCACCCTTCATTTCCTGTTTTGTTGAGATCCTGTTCTACTGAAACAGTCATCACAACTGTATTCTGACTTTGAAATGACACATCTGTGCCTAATGGTGGAGGTCTGTACAAAAATATTGCCAATCCATTGAAGAAAATGGTGATAACTTTACAAGTAACACCTAAATAAAAAATAAAATAAATCACGCATTAGAGCCTTTAGGTATTAAAAAATGAGAAAGAATTGAGAAACAAAAAAGAATTGAGAAATTCTTCATGTACAAAAACTCACTGTTTCAAAGAGAAGAATTATATGGCATTATAGTTCTGTTTTTCAAATTTTAAAATATTAAGGAGGCTGGGCATGGTGGTTCACATCTTTTCCCAGCACTCTAGAGGTGAAGATCTCAATTCTGGGCTACATACCAGTTCCAGGCAAAAAGCCAAAAATCATTAGGAAGAAAGAAACAAAACACTTGCATATAATTCGATAAACTAGAGTTTATTTTCTTTCTAAACAATAAAATGTACATAATAACTGTCTTATTCATGGTTATGATTTTGCATTCTTATAAATTAAGCAGTGTGGAGGATTCAATAAATTCATGTTCCACTTTTTTTTTGGAAACAGGCTGGCCTCAAACTCCTGACCCTCCTGTTTTCTGTGTCCTAACTGTTGGGATTACAGATGTGTACCATTGTGCCTGGCTCAACATTGTGAACACAATATCATATCTAAAAATTTCACACTACCAAAGCATAATGTTAAAAATCTCATACCATCCTTGATCCTGAATAAGTTGGACAATATTAATTTCCAAAATGGAAAATAATTATAAAAGCCTCCAAAAAAGGCTCTGGTGCTCATAGGATGAAGCTTCTATGGGAATGTATCACATTTACTCTGCCAGCCAGCTAAAAACATTAAACATTAAGATTTATTTCACAAGTTTGGTTCTCAGATGACTAACTTCGAGCTCAACCATGTGAAGACAAAATACTTCCAGCCACCGTCCTAAGCATTTAATGTGTCGCTTGAATAAATTAATAGTGGTCTCACAACATAGTGTTCCCAGAACCTGAACTCTCTTTGTTAATCATCAATATTTTATTTTAAAATGTGCCTTTGAAAAATCACTGATTAAACATTTCTAGATTTTTAGGAAGATTAGTAACATTGATATGACTACTACAATGTTTCTTCTTGGTTTGTTTTTGAAAATTTATAGATGCTATATGTATATGTTTTGGGAGGTAAAATTCTCACATTCATCACTGAGTGGAATGGACAATTCATTATCCACGTTTTGTAGTAAAAAATAATAGCAACAAAACCAATTAAATCTTAGACATGAAAAGGATGAATAAAAATGGGTTTTAATAGTGAGTAGAAGTAATAGGAAGATTAATTTTATTTTAATAGATATTTATGCTCATTATATTTTGAATTTATGTATTGATTTCATCAGTGATTACTCTGTTACTTCATAGTTATAAATTCAGAGACTATACGCTGGCTTAAAACACATGTAAGAGTAACAAGCTTATCTTGATACACGTACCAAAATAATAGCAATGAAAATCACATTACATATATTCAAGACTTCTCTATACTTAAATATTCTAATTTCTTAAGATTGTTTTTAAATTTTTAAATATTAAACTTTAACTTCTAGTACCAACTATATTAACTGGATGACTTGCTCTAGTTTTTTTGTGTGTGTGTGTACCTCAAGAAAGGTGAACCTCAGGCTGGCCTAAAACCTAGAACTCACTGTGTCTTCCAAGCTAACCTTAAACTCACGATCCTCCTGCCTCAGTCTTCAGAGTGTTGGGATTACAGGTATGCTCTGCTATGCCTGGATCCTTAATTTTTTAACCAAAACTATACATACCATAAAAGATAAAAATTGTTAAGCATTCTAAACTACAAGAAGAATCTTATTGCATGTCTTAGAGCCAAAGGACTCTTCTTTACTGTAGATACCTAGACGACAATCATTCTTAGAACTGCTCTTTAGCTTTCAAATATACTGCCAAAAAGTTTGATATAAATTGTCAAAATTATATGATATGTGATGTAATGAGAGCTAAAGCATTTAAGATTGAGTATTGCAGGCTCTATTCAAAACCTCTGATGACAAGCTGTGACAATTCACCTCTGCTTGAAGACTACATGTTGGCCCAACAGCATGGGCTAACTTTCCACAACTATAACATAAGCAACCAGTTACTAATGTGAATGCATTAGTTTAAAAGTTATCAGGATGGCTCTAGCCTATAATCCTGGCTACTCAGAAGGCAGAGATCAGGAGAGTCACCCACACAAATAGTTCTCAAAACCCTATCTTGAAAATACCCAACACAAAAAATGGTTGGTGGAGTGGCTCAAGTGGTAGAGCATCTACCTAGCAAGCGTGAGGCCAAGTTCAAACCCTAGTACCATTCCTCCACACCAAAAATAAAAATAGTTTTCAAAATGTCACTTACTTATGGCTACTAGCATATGGGCCATCTTGATGTTATCATAAATCCAGCAAGCTCCTTTAATTCCACATTCATTAATATCCCAGAGTATACATGTGCTATCTATTGTGACACCAAATATAATTGGTCCAGGTATTGTGCCTAGAAGAATTACAGACAAAATAAAAATAGGTAAAGATTAAGTTTATTATCACAGGTTGTTAATATATATACTTTTATATATATTTGTATAGACAAATATTCATATACAAATTAATCAATTCATGTACAAGTCAGAGATAAAGAAACACAAATAAAATACTTTAAAATTATATATAATTATGCATTTCTAATCAGTTCAAAAAGTATTTTTGTAGAAATCTCTAGCGTATATTGGGTTAACATTTAGTTTATTCATTCTTTTTACTCCAGCTGATACAAAAAACCAAAAAGTCATACATATTAATGAGGTAACATTTAAATCAGTGTAAACATGTTTATTTCCACAAACTTTTATCAGTTCTTTGTTGTGAAAGCTTTCAAAATCCTTTTCTCTAGCTTGGTGAAATGTTAGTTTAGTAAGATTTTAAATCATTTCTCTGATAATGTAATGAGTGAACGTGCCTTTAAAATTCACTATTATTGATTTGAAAAAATCAAATTATTTTTGATGCACGAATAAGTCTGATGAACTGCACTATATGGTATAGAGGGTGCATATGCATAAACTAATTTGGGCATATGTGTATACAAACTAAAAATGAACATGTGTGCATGAGTATATGGTCTGAATATGGACATAATATATGGACATACATATTCAAGATAACTTGCACACTGTTCACACACACACACACACCACTGCCAGGAAGCCACGGAGCTCTAAATTTCCATCTCTGCACATTCCACATTGGCAAATTCAACCAATTGTAAATTGAAAATATTCTAAACAATTCATCTATACTGAACATGTTCAAACTTCTTTCTCTTGTCACTCTTCCCTAAACAATGCATTTAAGAGCTATTTATGTAGTATTTGTTAGTGGTGCAGGTTCAGTCTGTGATCAGGAGGCTTCCAAATTCTTGTCCCTCAGGGAAGAACTCATGGCAGGACACATGGGTGTAAATAGAATTCATTAAAAGTTAGGAAAAGAAAATACAAAGGGAAGCATGGTATGGCCCAGGTGGAAGCCGGAAGCCGAGAGAGCGTGTTTCTGATCTTTAGGCACATTTGAAACCTATGATAACCTATAGGAAGGGGAGAACAAGGAGATTCCCACCCAATAATCAATGATTAGGGAGAGGCATGGGTGGTTCCCAGCTAAGTGAGGGTGGTCTGGGCCATCCCAGAGCAACCTACATGAGTCCTGGAACTTTTTCTAATTCTAGCCTGCCTCACATTTACATTATTTTATTTATTGTAAGTAATCTAGAGTTGATTTAAATTACAGAGGACAGGATACGCATGGGTCATGTGCAAATAATACATTATTTTATATACGGGACCTGAACGCCCAAGGATGTGGTACATGTGGGGTCCTAGAAGCAGTCCTGCAGGGATTCTGAGAGATGGCTAAACTTCACACACTTCCAAACATTACAAATCAAATATATTATTTGAAGTAGTATTCTTAGACAAAGGTTTAGGCTGTATGTGGCCTGTTTTATGACCTGTAGCATGACAGAGCCAAAAGAATATCTGACTGAAAGGGATCATTTTTCTAGTCATCCTTCCACCACAGTTAATTTATAACTCTAGCCAAACCTTTAAACTCTCAGAGCCTTAATTCACTCATCTGAAAAATGAGAAAATTTAACTACCTGGTTTCTAATGTTCTAACGTTTTTTGGTTTTAATAAATAATAAATGATATTAATATTATATTTATTATATATCTTCCTTCTCAATCTTTCTACATCTGTAACCTTACAAAATTCTCTAGTATAAATTTTCTTCCATCAATTCTTAACTAGTCACAATATCTATGCCATGATTACTATTGAAATGTTTTAACTCACTATTTTTCATGGTTAATGCAACACAATAGTATCATAAATGGAGATAAAACCAAGGAGAAAAGAAATCATGTGGTGAAAGTCATATTTTTTATTTCAAACAAATCAAATATACCTTTTAAAGATGTATTCGAATCAGGATTAGAAACATTAGTTAACAAATTAGGTAGGTGAAAAGTTAAGTCATTATATTTTCATGTGACATAAGTAATGGTACATCTTGAACACCGGAAAAGTTTTCAATCACAATTTTGTCCTTTTCCTCTTTAATTATTTTCTTGGCACATACCATATCTGAATCAATTGATAACACTAATGAATCACAATAGTTAGCATTTATCAATAATTTTTTTTTAATGGCATACCTAGTAATCGAAGCAACATGAACTGAATTCCCAATGCTAGAGCCCGTTGTCTGTGGTTAACACACCTGGAAACGTTAAACACAAATGAGACTGAGTAAGTTTGTATTGTATATTCCCTATTTGAGTATGTTTAGCATTTCTACATTAAAGTAAATGTTCATAAAAAATAAATTATTTGCAAGATCTTATAGTTTAATCATGCTGAGATTATGAGAAGAAAAATACTATCAGAACATAAATACTGCAAATAATGCCCAAAAGAGTCACTAAGTCCTGTGAGTTTTAATAATGGTAATGGAAAAAAGACATTCATTAACAAGACTTATTTTTCATGAAGCCTCTCAACAAAGTGGGTGTGAAGGAAAGGTATCCCAACATAACAAAGACTTTACAAGAAGCTCACAGCTAACATCATAGTCAATGGTGAAAAGTTGAAAGCTTTTCCTCTGAGATTAGGAAAAAAAAGGATGGGCACTCCTACAACCTCTACTTAACATTCCATTCAAATTCTCAGCCAGAGTAATCAGGTAAGAAAAGAAAAAAAGGCATGCAAATTAGAAAGTAAAAGGTAAAGCCATCTCTGTAGATGATATGACTGACCTATAAAAGGTCCTAAAGACTCAGCCAAAAAAAACCTATTATAATGGGAACAAATGAATTCAGCAAATTTCAGGATACAAAATCAACATAAAAAATCAGTTGTGTTACTATACAATAACAATGAAGTACCCTAAAAGGAAACTAAGAAAACAATCCCATTTATAACAGCATCTAAATATACAGTGTTTAAAAATAAACTAAATGGAAAACTTACACACTTGTTTAAAAAAAGAAAGAAAAATGAAGATGTTGAAGTAGGCACAAATGCATGGCAAGACATTGTATATTCATGGTTGGAAAATTAATATTGTTAAAATGACCATACATCCCAAAGCAATCTAAGAATTTAATAAAATCCTTATCAAAATGAAATTAAGCCATTTGCTGGAAATAGTTGGAACTACAGATCATCATGTTAAGTGAAATAAACTAGTCATGGAAAGACATGCATGGCATGTTTTCTCTCATTTGTGAAAGCTAGGAGAAAACCAAAGAAAAAAACCTAAGTCATGAAAGTAAAAGGGGACCTGGACCTAATAAGGGACCTGGAAGTGTACGAGTGTTAAACTGCTTTTACTGAGAAGCACCATTCCTCACTGGTGCCCACAAATTAACTAAAAGCAGGAGAAAAGCTTGGCATCCCTGCCTCAGTTTTGTATCTTTGCTCTCAGTCATTCTCTTTGCAGTCATTTTGCAATCACCTTAGATTCCAGGAATGACAGAACTGATAGCATCTTTAATGACAAGGAACTGAAAATTTATGACAAGGAACAGCAAAGGCTCCTCAGGACAGACAACAATAAGTCTAGATAATAGATAACTTCATCAGAACCTGTCCCCAAAACAAGAGATAATGACCAACCAGGCAACACCTGTGACTGGAACTGTTTAACTTTGCATAACTTTTGTTCCTGTCCTAATTCTTTGTCTATTTAAAATTAAAGTTCATGTCTATATTCAGAAGATGGATGAAGATGGGCTGAGTGTTTATTTTGCCTCTTCCCTCACATGTCCCAAGCCTTCTAATAATCTCCTTTTTCTGTCCTTCTCCATGTCTCTTTATTCAGGGACTAGTAGCTGAACTCTGACACGTGGAAGGTCAGCAGTTTGCATCTGAGGTCAAAAACTCCAGTTTCAAAACTAGTATAGAGATTCCTCAAAACCTAAAACACCAGAGTTTACATGTGATCCCTCAATCTCACTTCTGGATACATGTGAAAGGGAAATGAAATCAGTATGTCAAAGAGATTTTTAGACTCTCATGTTGATTGCAATATCAGTCACAATACTTGACATGTGGAATCAACCTATGTGCCCATCACTGAATGACTGGACAGAAGAAATGAAGTACAGAATACTATTCTGTCTTAAAGGAAAAGGGAATACTGTCATTTGTGACATGAATGAACTCGGAGCACATTATTGCTATTGAAATAAACCAAATAGAAAAATTACTGAAGGCCTTCGCTCATATGTGGGTACTTTAAAAAGCCAGCCTCAAAGAAGTAAAGGGTAGAACAGTGCCAAAGGCTGAGAGTAAAGAAATGAGGTGATTCGGACAAAGGGTGCAAAGACACAATTATGCAGGTAAGTTCTGCACAGCATGGCGAGCTTAGTTAACAGTAATACAGTATTGTATACTTGAAATTTGTTGAGAGAGTAGATCTTAAATGTTCTTACTATATTCATGCACACACACACACAAATGGTAACTGTGTGGTCATGGATATGTATATTAGTGTAATTGTGGTAATTGTTTCACAATGTATATGTGTTTCAAAGTATTACATTGTATACCTTAAATATATACAATTTTCATTTGCTAATCATATCTCGATAAATCTTGATAAAAAATTAATAATAAACCAGCATTTGCACCAAAAATTACCTTTTTGTTATGGCAATTTGGGGATTAAACCCAAGGCTTTTTTTTGCATATGCTAGACAAGTTCTATACCACTGAACTGAAAGGGGAAAGGGTGTTCCCACTTTTTTTTTTTTTTTTTTCATTTTGAGTCAGGGTCTCACTAAGGTTTCTAAGTCACCTTTGAACTTGTAATCCTCCTCCCTCAATTTTCTGAGTATCCTGGACCACAGGTGTGTTCGACCATACCTGCCTAATAACACTTATTTTTGACTATCGCTATTAAGTTGCAAGCACAAAATTCATATTCTTTACTCTGATTATTTAATTTGAGACTGAATTCCTACCCATGGGAAAAAGATACAAATCTGGGCCAATGAAAAACAGTTCCTTATATTCAACTTGCCTCAATAATAATTCTTTTAATGACTGTCAAAGATGCATAAGACATGATGCAAAGAGTCATGTGAGAAAGAAAAGAGATCAACTAACCTTTTAAAATAATCATAGAAAAGTGATTACTATATTGTTTAAAAATGAATTTTTTTATATTTACGACATAAAATATTTAATCAATAATCAAATACGTAATATTTCTGCTGTTAGTGATTCTCTTCTATATAAGTGAATTACCATCTGATCTTTCATTTTGGGCTGAAGGATTTATTTCAAATTTCTTGTGGTGAAGGACAGCTAGCAAGGAGTCTGTCAGATTCTTTTTACCTGAAAGTGACTTAATCTTCTTTTCCCTTTCAAAAATGAATTTTTAAAAAACATTTTCCTTTCTGCTAAATTCCTCCCATTTCCATTTAGTGTAATATTAACTATATCATGTTTTTAATTTAGAATAGAAAAACTTCTCATTTTTACCAGTTAACACACATTCCTCTCTCATCCTTCCCCCAACTGTATATATACTGAAAAATGTACATTTGTTTGAGGAATTGCTACCACTTAATCTCAAAATTTTGAGTAAATGTACCTCAGTCTAATCAGACTTTTTATGACCTTTATAACTGCATTTAAAACCCTTAATTACTATTTCTGGATGTTTGAGAGTCTGATTGCTATCATGAAGTAAAAATTTATTACTTTAGGGATAAATAAACATAGCTCTTGTTTAGCAAGCAAAAAAAAAACACTTTCCACTTATCAAAAAGCATATGACAAAGTAATGGGTGAATATTAAGGAACAAAGTACTAAAAAAGGAAAAGCCTAGAGTTTATCAGGAAAGATATAGAAAGGCTGGGGGGCCCATGGAAGGGCTGGTGGGAAGTAATTTTTTTGTAAAAAATATAGAAGGACACAGGCACTGGTGACTTATGCCTGTAATCCTAGCTACCTCAGAGGCTGAGATTAGGAGGATCAAGGTTCAAGGCCAGCCTGGGCAAATAGTTTGTGAGACCCCCCAACTCTAAAATAACCAGAGTAAAGTGGTCAGGAGGCATGGTTCAAGTGGTAGAGGGTCTAGTTTGCAAGTGTGAAGTCCTGAGTTCAACCCCCAGTCCCACGAAAAAAACAAAAAAAAAAAAAGAATATGGAAAAAGAGCCACTGAAAATGCAAAACCCTAACAAATATCCAGGTGACAGCCAGCTTCTTACTGACTTACAGGAAGATTTCTTACCACACACCTGTTTAAGCAGAATGCATGTTCTGATTCTGGCACATGTGGAGTACATTTAATTTCCATGATACTCAAATACACTCAAGCATATCTCTAGCTCACAACTGAAGATTCATGAACCAAGCAGAGAATCTAACAGCAGGAGGATGCCAGACAGGCAATGTTGACACACATCCTCACACATTACTTCACTCACATCTCTTTCATCTGCAAGTCCATGCAGAGCTTAACCAATGTCACAGAAATCCTCATACTTTTAGGACTGAATTTACTTGGTACCAATGGTCAATGTAAGTCCCAGCTAAACCCGAGTCCATTTTCTTTCCACTCAACGTGTTACCTTAGGAAATATAAATTTCACAACATAATACATACCTTAATATGGACACAGTTATAGGAGTGCCAGCCATAAAGGTAAAAACAACTGTGATGAAGAAAATGCCAAGAAATATGGGCAAGTTTGCACATTGAGTTTCACATTTTCCAGCTTTAGCTTCAAAACTAAAATTTCTGCCATAGGTATTATTTCTATTTTCCTCTCAATACAGGAACAGTTGTAATATGTCTGAAAATATTAGGCCAAAAATACCGAAATTGTTTATTTTGAAAATATTTTTATCAGGTAATTTATAGACATGGTAAACACTCTCACACTGCCCAATCCATATACAATAAATAATGCTGAGAAAGAGTAACTAACCCTAAGAAATGAAGCAAATTCTTATGAAATAGAACCATCTGTTTTTTGACTTTGTGTCTCTTACTTCAACTTGTAACCTATTATTGGCTCATGACTTCTAAAACAAATTGACAAGAATATAATACTTCTATGATCTTGAACATTCTAGACTACTTTAATATACCATAATTGCTCCAAAACTGTTTTCCTGCTAATTTTTTTCTATTGCATTGTAGGAGGCAAAGAAGAATCTATGCTGACAACCTCATTATCTTCACTAGTTTAAAAGAGCAAACTCTATAATTCTGACAAGTGCCACAGTAAAATGACTTAATACTTTGAAAAAAATTGCTGCTTTTAGCTACAACCTTTAAACTATAATTTTCTGAACTTTTTTTGAGTTACTTTACTGAAAGGAAACTGTATCTTTCTTAAAATGATATGTTTATAATAATAAGAAATAGAAGTTACTATCTCACTCTCTTGAAGCCCATTTTACATATAAATAACATATTATTAATTCTCATATAGACATATATGTATATCTAAGTATATTTTAATAATATGAAATGTTGAAAGCTAACATGACAAAAAAAATCATGAGTTTTACCTCTTTAAAAAAGAATTCAGATTTTAAAAATTTATTAGGCACTATTATATTTTAAAGGCATTTTATATCTCAATTCCATCCTTAATATAAACCTTTTTATTTATTTAAAACCTCAACAAAATCAGAATCAAGCCAGGGAAGCCAAAGAGAGGTGATATTTTCATTGTTCCAAAAGCCAAAGACCACTTCTCAGTGCTAAAGCAATTAATTCTAAACCACTGGTACTGGCTCAGAAAAACCAAAAGTGACTATCACACAGTAAGCAATAACATATTTATAATATATATTATAATATTATATATATATAATTCCAACCTTTCTTAAACTGGAAAACTGACCACAGGGTTTTCTATCCTGCTAAAACTTTGTCTCTCTCATGTAAAGTATACATTCTCCTATAAAATAGCTCTTAGTCACAGTCTGTTTTTGTACTTTAGGTCACTGGTATAAAATACCATGCTAATATTGTTGTAAACAAATGTACATAGGTGTTCACTGCTTTGTTGTACATGAATTTTGCCTATTTAAGATATTTAATAAGAAAAAACATCTTGTGAGTCAAAATAACTCATTCTCTTTCTTCCCATACAACCCCAGAAAGAAATCTTAGTATTTGGCCAAAATATAAATATAAAAATAACCTTAATAAAATAATCAATACCATTTCAAGTGTGCTGTATGTTGTGGGTATGAGATTTTTTGCTCTTTTTGTTTCCTTGTGTGATATTGTGTTTGTCTACATATCTTTAGTTATGCAAGTAAAACCCTTCCAATAACTTAACTCCTTCAAGAAGATCCTATCTACTTATCCATCTCTCAAAGGAATATTTAGTGATCTGCCAGGTAGTTTTGACTTTAAGATATCAATCAAGCTCACTTGTGGAATCTGATTCCTTACAACTGACTCAAATACTTAATTTTCTCAAGGTGCATTTGAAACTAAAGCAATCCCAGATGTTTTGAACACTGGGAGTTAAAATCTTAAAACTGTTCCTGAAGTCTTATAAAATTGTAATTGATACATTTTTATAATGATAGAATTACTTTTATTTCCAAGATGAGAACTTCATACAGTGTCATCTGAGCCTTTTAGGTTTCCTGTGATTCAGCACAGAGATTTTTGCTGATTTTTCAATATTTTTATATAATTATTTTAAAATATGTAAGTTAGGTAATATAAAAAACTCTCATTGTCTGTCATACTTTTGTGTATCCCTAGCAGAAAGATCAAAACCTTATATATTGAGATAAAGTTTTCATGTATCTACTACATATAAAATCATTAAAGATATGTACATATGGACACATATGTATTAATGCATGTACATTTGCACATATAAAATGTGTAACTTCACATACCATGCACACAAGCATGTTGGTTTTAGAAGACATTTCAAGTAATTCTAAATGTTTCTATTAATTATTTCTACTTATCTATGCTAAATGTTTTCTTATAATTTTCAATTTATCTTTACATAGGAAAAGGAATGCCATTCTGCTATCCCATATTTCAAATATTCAAGATTGTCACATAATTCTTACATAGCTTATTCATTGAGGCTTGTGTACCATAGTGTACATTTCTCCAAGGTCCTTTTCAAGGTACCACATTATCTACTAATGCCCAATATTTTACATACTTCTCATAATTACAGTATTATTTATCCAAAAGGCTCTTAAATTTAGCTAAAATAAATTTTTTAGATTATAGATGGATTTGAATAAAATCCCTTTGGGTTCTCTTAAAGTATTTAGCTGTATTAAAAAGAAATAAGGTCTGGGAAAGGTGATACATATTTTTATCCAAAAATAAGAATGAATTAATGATTTGAATATTTTAAAGTGTATCCATGGTGCAACAAATAACACAAATATTTACTAAGTTTTATCATAAACATTTACTAAGTTTCAATTGTATAAATTGTACTCAACAACAATGCTTTCAAGGATCTTAAAATATAGTTGAAGAAAAATAACACAATACAAAATACATGTAAATAGCTTGTCACTCCAGCAAAAGTGTTGTTACCAAGATGTATGTAAGAAACTGACAAATTGAGTTATCAACAGTAATTGCGGAAGTGTGAAGCAAAAGGAGTCTTTTTCCACTGAAGAGGTCGGGGCTGCTTAATGGGGGGAGGTGGGGCAGGAAAACAAGAACAGGTACTTCACAACCCCACTAGAAGGATCATGAGGACAAGTGTAAATACACAAATGCATTGCTTTGTCCAGGACAAAGTACCAGCACACAGAGTTACCTTTGGTTTCCTATTTGAAACAGAGTTTAAACAACCTGCAAAGCAGGGAGAAAAGTATTGGACACCATCTCCTCCACAGAGGGGATAATAGTAAGATCTCAGACAGTTACAGTTGGCATTACAAGGGGCTGTCAAGTTCCCCAGCTCTCCAGTCCTGCAGAGAAGAAAAGACAGAGGCTAAATTATCTGACTTAACTTCTAACAAACAATTGAGAAGCATGTTGTATCTTGCCATTCAGTCAGTTATTCACTCCTTCAACACATAATTACTGAGTTAATAAAATAAAACTTCTCCCTTTGCACACAAGCTTAACATCCTGTGAGAGAGAGGCAGTAAAAATAATAGTTATATAATATCTGTCAGCAATAAGAAAAATAAGACAGAATAAGTGAACAAAGCAGGGTTTCTCTTATGGTGCCAGACAGTTTCTGCAGAAAACTGGTTCTGTGGATTGTGGGGTGATTAACAGTGTCCTCTGCCCCACCCACCAGATGCCAGCAGCATTCTCCTTAGTTAAGGCAACCAGAGAGCACCCAGACATTTGCAAAATATCCCCAGAAGGAAGGTAACATTTTAACCTGAAAGAATGAGTAAAATCACGTTGTTCAGCACACTCAATTTACCAATGGGAAAACTGAGGCTTTGGGAACTTTCCTCTATTTGCCAAAAAAAATTTTTCTGATGTCCAGGCCCAGTGTTGTTTTATACTGTCTCTTAGTATGAAGCAACATCTTCCATAGTGTAAAGAGTTACTCTGGTCCAACATGCTTTCTTAATGCCTCATTTATCCATCCATTCAACAGATACCTGGAGCAGGTGCTAGGCCCTATGCTTGACAATGGTAACACAAAGTTGAATAAGAAAGTACTCTGCTCTCAAAGATTTCACAGTCTAAGAGTAGAGAATCAGAGATGCTGACTATGATTACAGATACATGCAAAGTCCATTTATTCATTTTATTACCTACTATTTTTTATTTTTGGCCAGTTCTAGGGTTTGAACTCAGGGCCTTCTGCTTGCCAGGTGGGTGTTCTAACAGTTGAGCCACTCCCCCCAAAGCATTTTTGCTTTAGTTATTTTTCAGATAGAGTCTCATGTTTCTGCCAGGGGCTATCCTTGGACCATGATCCTCCTACTTATTCCTCCCGTGTAGCTGAGATTATAGGTGCCTTGCACTATGCCTGGCTTTTTGACTGAGATGAGAGCTTGCTATCTTTTTGCCTGGGCTGGCCTCAAACTGTGATCCTCCTATCTCAACCTCCTGAGTTTGCAAAGAGCATTTTAGAAGTACCAAAGAATACCTAACATAAGCCAAAGTTTGAAAAGGAGAAAACTGGAGGAGCTACTGCCTGAGGTGAGTCTTAAAGGTGAGTCCCCCGACAGTGGGAAATTGGAAGAGCAGTTCATACAAAGGAAGTACAAAGAAGCAGGTGTGAAACAGCAGTCTATGTGCAGAAGTAGGAATGATGGCTGAAGCTGAGAGGGACAGGAAATATAGCTGGAGTCAAGGACCAGATTAATGAGGGCCTTGTAGGCCTCATGAAAAACAATGAATGACCTTTAGCTCCACATGGTGATGCATGACTGTGATATCAGCACTCAGGTGGCTGAGGCAGGAGGATCACAAGTTCAAGACCAGCTAGGGCTATGTAGCAAGATCCTGTCTCAAAAATAGATAAGTAAGCTTTAACTATTAGCAAAATGTAATCATTTTAGCATTTTTAGACTGGAAAGTGACATTGTCAAAAGTTCTCTTTAAAAAAATAATTCTAAAAGTTATGCAGAGTATGAATTTGTTGGAAAGGTACAAATTATAATATCTCAGACAACAGATGATGTCAATATAAAGAAGAACTAAGCTATGATATATGATTGTAACAAAGAGATGGGAGAAAATTTTGGGTGTAGAATTAGTAAGATTTGGTATTTAATTAATTGGTTGAATGATTGGAAGATGATCACCTGTGTAAAAGATGCCAGAGTCGAAAGTGACTCCTACTGTTTAGGTACAAAAGGAAAACCAAGTGAGGAAGAGGTGAGAGGTATAGTTTCACACATAGAGATTGAAAGCCTCAAATTTTATGAAGAAATCTGGCCAGAGGCTGAACTCCTAATATCCCTATGCATGCCGAAGTAGTTGAAACCACAATGTGATAAGATCAGCCCTAGAGCACAGAGTGAGAGTTGCACAAAGGTCTGCGAGAGCCACCTGCTTACAGAACAGTGAATTCCAATTATGTACTGCACTAGTCAGAGTGGAGAAACATATCCATCTAAAAAGATAAACCAGAGCCAGAACCAGAGATGAGAGAGAGAACGTGAAGCCCAGCCCCCATGAAACTCATTCTTTTGCAACAGCAATCACACACAGTAAATAGTACCAAGCACAGTTTCTGTTTATTGTGTGTTTGGTTTTGATTTGTTTTATTATAATTTGATGTGTTTTATTATGGCATTTCATATCTTATAAGGTTTTAAGTGTGAAATAAAGCACAAGCCACCACCACCACTACTAATTACCAGAGTTTAGACCCAAAGAGTCTACAGATTGTTCAGGCAATGTAAGAATAATCTAGAACTTTAATAACTAATAGATTTCCCTTTGTTTGTTTGCTTTGTTTTTTTTGAGACAAGGTCATGCTAGTTAGTCCAGGCCTTGAACTCTTTCTCAATCTTCCTGTCTCTGCATCCCAAGTACTGGGAAGCCTGTGCCACCATTCCTGGCTTAAGCAATAGATTTCTAGAAATATACACTGATAATTTCCTTTCAGTTGAATTCAATGTCCAGTTGTCTTTAATGTCCTTAATTGTGTCTGATTACAGATTGAATAATAAATTAATTTTTAAAAGTATTGAAAAATATCCCTTACAACAATCAGTATTAATGGTCTTAAAGTTTTTTTGGACATACAGGGTTTAAATGAATTTAGCAATAAGCCTAATTCACTAGTTCAAAACTGCAAAAGCTCTTTTACCTACCTGTGATTGTGTAACGTGGGTAAGACTCCTTGAACCATTGCTCTGGAAACCCTACCTTCTTCCCACCTCTATTTTCTCCCACTCCTGGAACAGGAACTTCTTGACTTCTCAGTCTGTTCTTCCCATATGCCCTTTCTCAGACACATGACTAAGCAGACCGTGATATGGTAATTTTAATATGAAGGGTACAAAAGCTAAAATTAAGAATTTGGAGACAATGACATAACTATTTCATGGCACTGCATTGTCTTTATATCTGTATGTACACTCATACATAAGTAGGGTGACTGTGAATATGTGGTGAATACTCAATTTCAGCAACTTCCTATCATTAAGAAATATAGCAGGAGGCATGGCTCAAATGGTAGAGCACCTGCCTAGCAAGCCCTGAACTCAAACTCCAGCAATAACAAATAAATAAAAATCAATCAATCAATCAATCAATAATTTCCTGAGCAGGCTGAATGACTCAAGTGGAGAGCCCTTCTATCAAGCATGAGTAGTTGAAGTCAACCCCAATATTGTGAAAAACATAGTATATGTGCATGTACATTAAGCACTATCCCTGTGTTCCAGATTTCTATAGATGTTGATGACCAGCCACATATGCACCTCAAACTAACACCACCACACAGAGCTTCTTTTCTGATCATGCTAAAGATAACTCACCTGGTAGTAAACCTTGATAAAGTACAAAACACCAAATGAATTCACAACCACTTTACTACTCAGGGTACTAAACTTCCTGTTCTACTATCCAGAAATTTCTATTCTTCTGAAAGGAACAGGTAGAAAAGGTGGTTTATTAGAATATGATTGAATGAAGTTTATAGGGGTAAAAATCAGGTCTGTACACTTTATCTGATTTTTCAACATTTCCAGTTATTTTTCTACTATTTCCAGACACATAACCTAGGTCCCATTTGGATTGATACCTGAACCAAGCCTTCACTTTTTATGACAGTTAATATTGACTTAATATATCCCATTTGTCTTTTCCTTTTCTCAAATCTTAATCTTACTTATCCCAGCTACTCAGGAGGATCACAGTTCGAGGCCAGTTCAGGCAAAAAAAAAAAGTAAGAGAGACCCCCCCCCCCAAAATCTCAAAAAACAGTTTAGGTGAGGTGGTGTGGACCTGTAATTCTAGTTGCATGGAAAGCATAGGTAGGAAGATCATGATCCAAGGATGGTCCCAGGCACAAATGTGAGACCCTATCTAAAAAATAGATAAGTCAAAAAGGACTGGGAGCAAATGGTAGAGCACCTGCTAGCAAATGTAAGGCCCAGAATTCAAATCTCAGTACTGAAAAAAAATCATAATCTCTCAGAACTCTTTGTATCCCAAAAGAATATTTAAGCCCCATTTTGCTATTAAGCCATGAGGTCTTTTCTGAATCTAGTCAAATAAAATTGAAAAGCTGTCCTTTTGAACTGCGTAGCATTTTATATACCTCCAAATACCTATTCGTTGTTCGTTCACTGCTTTCTTTTCCAGTCTCACCTTTAGAACAAGGATTTCATCATAAAGATCTGTAAGAGGAAGCACTGAGCAAGTGTTGAATAAGCTTAGTGGAGCTTAGCCAAACACTGCTTTAGAGCATAAAGTAAGTATTACATGAATGCAGAGGAATGACAGACACACCTGAATAGCAACTACAAATCATGACTACTGTTATTGGCAAACTTTTCCAAACAAATTACAGTTAATTTATGTCATCTGGATGCTATATTACACAAAATTATGAAGTTCTGGACTTGGGGTACAACCTCCTCCAGCAGCATCCTGCACACATACTGAAATGATTAAAGCAGCACAGTGAGCTCTAAGATGCAACGACTACCTGCCTGATCCCCTACTAGTAGCTAGGATTTTGAAGTAAATAAATAAATAAATAAAATATTGACAAAGAAAACCAGTTGCAGGTAGAAACACATCCATAGGACAGAAGTTATTTCTCTATAGTAAACATGAATTTCTAAGTAAATGTTACAACAATCAGTATTGCCCAGAACTAGTTTCATATTGATTTCTCTTCTAGCCTAGTTTCAATTCTCTATTAAGACAATTTTAGAGCCAGACATGGTGATGCATGCTGATAATCAAACTACTTAGAAAGTACATATTGAGAGGATCATGGTGTGGTAGTACACTCCTGTGATTTCAGCTGCACAAAAGGCATAGGTAGGAGGGTCACAGTCCAAGTTCAGACACAGGCAAAAATGTGAGGCCCTATCTGAAAAAAGCAAAAAAGGGCTGAGCCTAGGCGCCAATGAATGGTTCATGCCTGTAATCCTAGCTACGCAGGAGACAGAGATCAGGAGGATCATGGTTCAAAGCCAGCCAGGGAAAATACTCAACACAGACTGATGGAATGGTTCAAGTGGTAGAGTGCCTCCCTAGCAAGCATGAGGCCCTGAGTTCAAACCCCAATACTGCCAAAAAAAAAAAAAAGAGGGAGGGAGGGCATGAGATTACTGCTGAGAAAAGAGAGAGAGAGAATGATAACTGTGAAATTCTCTCTAGGATGTTATCCAGTCTGTTTTCTGTTGCTCTAACAGAATATGGGAGAATGGGTAACTTACAAAGAATATCAATTTATGTGGCTCACAGTTCTGGAGGTTAGAAAGTCTAAGAACATAGACCCAGCATCTAGTGAGGGCTTCCTTCTTATACTATAGCATGACAGAGGATATCACATGGCAAAACCAAGAAAGCAAGCAGGCTTGGCTCTCTCTTCGTCTCCTTACATGGCAACAAATGACATCATAGGGGCTCCATTCTCATGACTTCATCAAATCCTAATTATCTCTCAAAAAACAATACCATTAATATGAATTTGGGTAGTGTTTCTAACACATGAATTTTGGGGTGGGGGGTCACATTCAAACTATGCAAATGTGAATCCCTTAAAGATAAACATTCTGTTGTATTAGTCTTTGTATCCCTGAGCCAAAATTAGTGTCCCGTACTTTGTGGTTGTTCCTTAAATGCTGTCTGCATAAATACTCACAACTCTTAAAATGACACCAATTTTTTAAATAAACAAAATCCCCCATATATTCTTGCATAGGAAAAAGGACTTGTAATTAAAAAGAAAAAAAAAGCAAATTCCTAATCATTTGATTTAAGAAGCATATACTTGGAAATGTACACATAATTTATTACTCTGACATTAATATGAAAAGTATTGAAATATATTTACCCATTATATGATTCAGACACACCAGCAAATGGCTCATTTTCACATTTGGCATAAATAAATACAGAACTCAGCACGAGTGCAACTCCAGATGCAAACAATGCAAACTTCATTGTATTTTTACATGTCATTTTGAATTTTGAAACAAGGACACCACCTAAAATCTGACCAAGAGCAGCTCCAGGAATTAGAACCGCCCCTAATGAGAAAGAAGATAGTGAAGAAACACACGAGTATACTCAGTAACTCATGCTGACAATTGGAAAACATCAAAAGCACCAGTAAAGTTTTAATATCGACAAGTATTAACCCAACAGAAAAACAGCTGCACAAATGACTTAATAGTTCCACTAAGTAAGGGCTTAATAACATTAAGCATTGAGCATTAAGATATTCCCTTTAGCCTTATAGGCTTTGTCTCTCTTAAATTCATGCAATAAATTCTCTGATTACAAAAAATTGGAACTTTAATTAAAGTCAGTATAAAGTGTAAATTTCATGGTATGAGATATCCAAAGTTATATGTTATTTTAATAAAAACATGTTAAAGTATAATTAGCAGATTAAGTTAGAACAAAATTGTTTTACCTCCAAGGGTAGCTGCAAAGCTGGATGTCAATCCAAATTGATTTTCTATAAATTTAGGTAAAAATGTAGCAAATCCAGTAGTAACTAAGGCTTCAGAAGAAGTTGATAGAACTAAACACATAAAGACAGTATTCCTCATCAAATTCTAAAGAAAAAATACAGTTCACCAAATGAATAACTATAATTGTACTGCAAAAGGCAGCATTAAAATGGTAGCATAATGAAAAGGCAAAAAATTTAATAAACAAAATATCAGCCTGCAAATTTACAGCATTTTTCCAGCATAAAAACATGACTACAGATAATTAATAGATTTACAAATGCACTGATGAAATCATTTGTGTCTGGAGCACCTAAAGAATTGACAGATAATTCACTAGTATGGTGATTATACCTTTCATCACACTCAAGGAGCCAGGGAGATAGGTAAAAGCTCACTTGGGAAGGTTCCCCTCCCCAATCTCACTACAAATGTCTATACTATAGATCTACCCCTTATTTGATTTTTTAAATTGTGTCTTGAATTCCTATGTTCACTGAATGAAGAACTTAAGACTGTGAACACAGATGCAAATGGTCTCCAAGGACCAAACTCATAGTATCTTTTTATGATTAAAAGACTAAGTAATTGAAAAACTTTAAAGCAATTTTAAGTGTTTATATTGTTGTAGCTCTCAAAATACTTATAGTTAGGGATAACCTAGCAATTGTACAGAAATCAAAGACAGATGAGGGTGGCATTGGTGACATAGTGGTGAACATAGCTGCTTTCCAAAGATAAATGAAAAATTTATAAATTTACACATGGAAAGAACAAGTTAAAATCACACAAACATGGAACTTTTACTCTGTAGCACATTTATAAAAAAGAGCAAACAAAACCCAAAGGTTACTGGATTAAAAGGAAATGAGCCAAAGGTATTCATCTGGACAGAAATATCATTCAGACATTCAAGGATAGTTGGTGATATCCTATCCAAGGAAAAGCAGCAATAAAATGCTGCACCCATAGAGATAGAAATCAGAATAGGGATCTCTAACAAGCAAATGAAGATTTTAAAAAGCAATGGTGAGCAATGACTCTTGAACACATGCTCTTTCAGTTGCTCTACCTGAAACAGTTTCACTCAAAGACAATGAAACTAAATCTGAGGACTTATTTATAAGAGCTACAATGTAGTAAATAAGCACACCAGACTCTTTTAAGAGATTTCTGTGTATACATGTGTAAGAAAGGAGAAAGAGTTAGTTTAATTTTACCTTTAGAGCAGCTGGAAAATCTTTAATACTTTTTCCAAAATTCTCATCTGTGTGTTGTAAGACAGTGCTATTATTCTGATGAGTCTGAGAAGTTTTTCCAGCTTGAATCTTTGCTGTACCTAAAAAAAAAAAAAAAAGTAAATTTACTTGCTCTGTAATTTCATTCATCCTTTTACTTTATAATTGACAATTTCCACAAGTGGACAAATTCCGTTGCACAAGAGGTCAATTATTCTTTTTTTCAAAAAATTGTACAAATATCTATGTCTGTAATTAGGCCATGCTAAGAGCTGGTGTTTATTAACACTAACTAAAATGAGTTTCTACCAGTCTAAACATTAAAATGATACAATTTTGCTCACAACACATATTGTTTTCTTACATCATTTCCAATGGATTCCTTTTGAGTTTCAGGCTGTTTTTGCCACAAATTCCTTTCTTTTCTTTCTTTTATTGCATAAAACCTGTTATTAGCATAAATTAATTGTACAAAGGGTTTCCAGGTGATATTTATATCCATGTATATGATGTACTTGATCAAATTCAACCCATCTATCAAACTCTTTCTTTTCATTTGGAGTCTCCAAACATTGTTTGTTCCTTTCAAATTGCTGATTTTGTCATCATTTATAATTTAAATACATTTGTTACTTTTTCCTGTTGCTCTCTAAAGGAAAATAATCATGTTTGCAGATGAAATAATATTTGCCACCTATCATCGTGCTTTTGACTTTTAATATTAATTCTGTGAATAAATGTGGAAAAAAAACAGTAACATGTAATTTTAAATTGGATGGCCCAGGGTAGAAAGAGATCAATGAATTCACCTACTTCTGTTGTATCATTTTCTTTTGCTCACTTCTGAAAGTTAGTAACCTATTCTGTTGCAAACAACAATGGAAAAAACTAAATACCTTCAACCTAGAGAAAAATACTTCTACAGATATGTGTTTTAAATACAAAAACAAGCTCTCAAAGCAAAATGGGTATTCTTTTTTTCTATTAAACTTTTAATTGACTCTAATATTAAAATATGGTAAAAATGTACTACAGAATGACTGATGATAATTGAAAAAAATATGTACTTGTTCTTTCAACTACAAATAATTAACATAAATGATTTAAGGCAGATGTGTCCTTGAAACTGGTGACTGGTTGAACATGAACTAATACTTTACAACATAAGAAACAAATTTAGTAATTAGTAAAGACGTGAATATGCATAGTTTTATTAATTATTAGTAGGAAATAAAATCCATGAATGATAAGATTGCTATCCACTATTTACCAAAATGAAGATAGATTTTCAAAGTATGTGTAGGCAACTAAAATTCTAAAAAGTAAATAGGGTGAATCTGTGTTTCTTAATAATCTGATAGAAAACAGTATCTGGCCTAGAATTAGAATAAAACCCTCTGGTTTTAAAGGAACCACACTTACCTGGCAAATGTTTTGGAAAGCAGGAGAAAGGTATTATCAAAGACCAAGCAAAGAGCCATGATAGGAGAAATCCAACCCACCAAGCCCCCAACCACCGTGGATCATCCTCAGTGACATCAGTGCTGTATGACAGAAAAACAAGAAGGAAAATTCAACTCAGTCTTATTAATTATAATCCAGTTATGACAATCATGTACTTTATATGTGCATGGGATACAATACTATTAAATTTAAATTTTCATGAGGCCACTATGATGAGCCAGGTAACAGATAGCAGGCATAAATGAGTTATATGACATGAAAATTTAAAAACTTAATAGGAAATATAAATGAAATGAGTATTTGAAAATATACAGATTTTCTAAACATTTTCACTTAATCTTAGCTATTTCTCCTCTACTGTACTCAAATACATCTTACAGTAAATCACTGATCTATGTTAAAAGTCCACACACTATACTTCAACTATAGCATTCTTTTTAAAGCAAATTATTCAAAAGTGGTTTATTGAAAGTTTTTTTTAATGCCTGTAATCCCAGTTACTTTGGGAGGCAGAAATTGTGAGGATCAGGGTTTAAGGCCAGTCTAGGCAAAAAAAAAAAAAAAAAAAAGTTAGTGAGACTCCATCTCAACCAATAAGCTGAGCATGGAAATTTGCACCTGCCATCCCACCTACGCAGAAGTCAGGAATAGAAGAATTGCACTCAAGGCTGGCCTGAGCAAAAAGGCAAGCCTCCATTTGAAAAATAACACAAGCAAAGGACCTGAAGGTGTGGCTTAAGTGGTAAAGCATCTGCCTAGCAAGTGCAAGATCCTGAGTTCAAACCCTAGTACTGCTGTTTTTAATAATAGTTCTCACATTTTAATATCAATAGATCCTTTCCAAAAACATATATTCCCACAACTCACATAACTCCACTGAAATTAAAAGGTCTTCTCTTAAAAGCCTGACTCTGACTCCAGGGCTTGTTTTTCACACCTTTTTAATTTTGTGGGGGAGCGTGGGGGCAGAACTGAGGTTTGAACTCATGGCTTCAAAATTATTAGGCAGACACTTGAGCCATGACTCCAGCCCTCACACCTTTTTTATCATCTCAGAAAGATTAACCTGGGACTAGCAACTCGGAACAAATCACATAGGCAGGACCATTTCTTACTCATCACTTAAGGTCATGCCAAGATTGTGTCTGAATAATAAAACTAGGAAATATGGCCTTGCCAAAGGCCAATAACGTCCCCAGTCAGGTTCAGGAGAAGGTAATTCAGAGGTTAAAGCAAATGTGGAGTTAAAAGATCAACCTTAATTCATGTCTTGGCCATTTACCAATCTACATGTATAACTGCCTTACAGAATTATCTAGAAAATTAAGTAAAATAACATATGATACAAGCTAACACTAAGAACATGTGTTGTCTGTAATATAGTACAGAATAAATAACAATGACCTATTATTATTGTTGTTGCCACATTTATGACAGCAATTTAATTGTGATCTCTGTGACATTAGCAGAGCTACCAGGGAACTTGTTCTAAAAATCATATCTTGTTGACACTACTCAGGCTATCAATCTCTAACTAAATCCACAACAGACATAGCTTATTTATTGAATTCTTGTTCTTGAACAATGCATGGGATCCTTAATACTTAATTTGAAAAATTTTACTAGGGGACTGTGCAAACAAAAACATCATAGAAAAAAATGTGTGTACTCAGTTTTGTTTCCTGAAAATACCCCATGAAGTCCAGAATAAGCACTGTGAAAAGGTTCTGTGATGTTCATATTATTAAAATCAAATAAACTTAAATGAAAGAAAAAAAGATATTGCCTTGCCTTTGTCCCAAAGCAATGTCAATGTACATGGTTAACAGCTGTCCACCCAACACATAGCCAATGGCAGGGCCTAAGATTGACATAGAATAGCCAATTCCTAGAAGAAGATTAACAATGTTAGAAACACCCACATGCACAATTGTGCTTCTCATGTCAAACAATAATGAAGACAAATATTTTACTACAGAAAAATCTGATGGTTATACCTACATCAAAGCTAAAGATTTTCCTGGTATGCACCTCTCATCCCAGCTACAAAGAGAAGCATAAAATTAACTGTATTGCCACCTTCTACATTTTTTTAAATTAATTTTTGAGGTTCTTTTACTCATACATGAAAAAGCAGGAAACTAAGTTTACAACCAAAACTAAGCATATATCAATGCCAAAATGACTTATGTACTAGATTAAGTCTCCAATGCAAGGTTCACAATGATCCAAACACACAAAAACTTTATCTGTCAACTACCCTATTATTAATTATAGCTGTGTTTTAAAATGTACATAATTTTAGTAGAAAAGTTCAATTAGAAATAATTGCATGTGCACATATAAAGGATTAATGATCTAAGTAGTTTATGGACAAAAGTACATTGTTAAAATGCTGGAAATCAGTGATTTATTAACTATTTCTGGTGGCAGATTTTTAAAAGTAATTTCCAATTTGGTTAGACTAATAACTTTAGGAATATCTGATAACTTTTAGCAATATAAAATTGCTGTGGGGGTTTCCATATTAGGGATATGCTCAGGGACATTTAGTAGTCTTTGTTAGTGGTACACCAAGCACACTGACTTCTAGTGACTGTGGCAATAGATCTCTTATGACGTAATAATAAACTGATACAAACAGGACATGGAGGTGCACACCTACAAGTTCAGTACTCAGGTGGTTGAGGCAGAAGGATCATAAGTTCAAGGCCAATCTGGACTACATGGCAAGACTCTCTCTCTTCTTTCTCAATAAAACTGATAAAGAGAAAATTCATGTGTCAATGAATTAGGCAATATAGGGCCTCAAAGGAATTTAAGATGAACTTACTCTATAAATGAAAAATAAGTGTCACAAATAAAAAGGGTTGATTTTAAATGGGAAATTCTATAGCACTTCTGGACACCATTTATCTTATGGCTTTTCTTGTGGACTCTTGTCATGTCCACACTGAATATAATAACTCATGATCTCCACACCCTATGTAAATTCCCCTGCAATGTAAGCTATCTAAACAGAAGACTGCTCTGATGGCTCTGCCCATTCAGCATGTCCAGAGTGGGACATCAACAAAAAGTCATTATGTAGTCACTACCTAAGTTGATATGAAGTAAAAAAATGAATAAATAAATAAAGTAATACGGCTTTTACCTAGTGGAAATATCCATGGCATTAAAACCCCTTTCTGTTTTGTTTTTTGTGGTGCTTATGATGAATCCCAGGGTCTTGTGCATGCTAGGCAAGTGCTCTGCACTGAGCTACATCCACAGCCCTATCTTTTCAATAAAATTTTTTAAAAAACATGTTATGCTTTCCTCAAAATAAACACAAAATGCTACTGAGACAGTTATACTGAAGAGTACGCTTACCTATATAGAGAGAAGACTTGTGGGTGGGCACAGAGTCATCAATAAAGGCTGTTCCCAGGTGTAGAGAGGGGTTCCTCCAGTCCCAGCAACAATTGTCCCAAGATGAAGACATATAAGTAGTTAGAAAGTGAAGAAGTTGAAGAGGTACAACTGGTGCTATTTCTTGTTGTTAAGCAAGTATCTTTAGTGGAAAAAAAATTATGAATTTATAGAAGTTTTGCTAATAATTTATTTAACAAATTATACTTGTTGAAGATAACCTTTGTTTTCTTTTAACACTTAATTTGATTATATTTAAACTATATCAAGAGACATATGTTACTATAGAAAATTTATGAAGTATTCCATGCAAAATTTAGAAAATATAAAACAAAACTGAGAAACATTTCTTTAACAATCAAAATTAACACATTTTCAGATAAGCCAGGCTAAACAGTACAAGCAAGCGGTGCCAAACAGGTTGAAAAACAATGAAAATATTATTCTTGAGGTCAAGAGCACAAACCATAAATTACAAACTCATGGAATTATGGAGATAAGGAAAGAAAAAATACATATGGGCTGAAGAATTTAGGAAAGATGTGAAATGAAACAAACTGTCCAAAAAATGAAAAATCACTCTGGGATGGGGCAAAAGAGAATAAAGACTGGGAGAACTACAAGGACAGAGAATAGACTGGAAAAAATATAACGAGATTAAGCTGAAGAAAAACTAAGACACTAAGATTTAAAAGATTAACGAAATTATAGAAGAGATACAGATAAAAGCAATCAAACAATAGGTAATCAACTAGAATAGGAATATATCTTATCTATCGGTGATAGAGATTGGATGGTTAGTGCCCAAAATAGTTAGATAGAAGGAATGTGCTTAGTGTTCACAGCACAGTAGGGCAACAACAATTAACAGCAACCTATTATGTATTTTAGGAAGTAGTAAAAGAAAAGAAGTTCAAAGGCACCAAAACCTCAGGAAAGATAAATGTCTAGGGGTATGATTTGATTATTAAATATTGTACAAATATTTTTCATTATCACACTGTGTACCCATAAGTATGTATAACCAACCATGTGTTGATCAAAAAAACAACTAAATTTTAAAAAGGCATGCAAATTTGACAATATACCACAAGATGAGCCCCTAGATTGTTTATGAATTTAGGATTGTTGCCCTTTAATATTAAGAATTTACAATTTCACTTCATAGAAACCAGTGGGAGGGGGCAAGGTAGAGAAATGACCCAAACAATGTATGCACATGTGAATAAATGAACAAATAAAGAAACAAAGAAAGAAAAAAGAGAGAAGAGAGAGAAAGAAAGAAAAAAAATATATATATATATTCAGTTGGCCAGTCCTGCCAACTAATATTTGCAGAGCCTGCAGAAAAAAAGACAAAAGAAAAATCCTCATGGACAGAATATTTAGAAGTTAAATACAAGCTTAATAAGCCCAACCTTTCATCCAGTCAGAGACCCAGGCATTTGCCCTAAAACCGGAGGCAAAAGTCTCTGTTTCCCTAGGCCTGCCCTGCTACAGGGTTAAGTCTGCACTGGGCCTGAGACTGTGCTGAGATTCCACTCTCCCAGTCCCTTTTTGTGAGCAGATTTCCAGGAGGCGCCTAAGTCTTCTGGGACAGTGACTGAAGAGGCTTAGTTTTCCAGGTGACTAGGTCTCATGAATTACCTGAGTCAGGTACTTTGAGATGGCTAACTAAACAAAACCAGCCTTCCTTTCTGGAGACTGGCTGTAGTGTTCTGTCTCCTAGCCACTACCTTTGTTTATACTAGACCATCCCCAAGTTACATTAACATGTCTGGTCTGGGAGTTTAGCTCATTCTTACATTCCTCTCCTATGATTCTCTTTTCGCTTACCCTGTTACTGACCTTTCAAACTTTTCTTTAAAAACTTGAAAAGCAAAATAATGAAACCTGGAATGTTAAAGTATAAGTTTCTAAGAACCAAACTCAGGACAAGGCCTTTCTTGCCTAGGCCTAAGGAAGCCAGTGGCCAAAGAGCTGAAAAAGTAGTAAGAGAAATCTCTTCCTGCAGTGAGGAGCTAGTCCTAAATCAAATTCATATGCTTTGCCTGGTAAAAGAGATGATCCAGGTGGCAGCAGAGGCCCCAGTCTGCTTGAATTTCTAAAACTACAGAAGGTAATATAGAAAGACAAAGAATCTCACAGACAGCACTCTCGTCTTTTGTGGGAATTGAAAAGCTGAAGCTTTTGTTTACACAACCCACCTCCTGGGTTGCCAGTCTGGCCACTTATCTCCTCTGGGGTCCTGACCCTAACCCCACCAATAAAATGACTTCCAAAACGGAGCTACCATAGCATCCACAGAAAGATGTTAATGAGAGGCCATTATTTATATGAAAGAAGACAGAAGCAGAAAAGACAAGAAAAAGAAACTGGAGATGAAAAAATGGACGAAGAAGAAGGAAAAAATTAAAACCCTGTAAACCAGATGCCAGCGGCTCACCACCTGTAATCCTAGCTACTTGGAAGCTGAGATTGAAAGGACTGCAGTTTGAGGCCAGTCTGGGCAGATAGCTCCAAAATAACAAGAGCAAAAATGGACTGGCATCATGGCTCAAGAGTAGCAGCACCAAGATTTGCAAGTGCCAAGCCCTGCCTAGTTTCAAACTTTGAGTCCCACCCAAAATAAAAAATAGAAATGAAGATACAATGGAAAGGGCACAAAGGAGAACAAAGCTGAAAAAGGCACAGCAATAGAATAATGAAACCAAAAAAATGCAAAAGTTTAAGGAAAATGAGTGGGCAAAGGAACAAAGGAATTAAAAGCATAGATGAAGGCTGAGGAGATTAATATAGCACATAATACCTGAGAGAAAAGAAACTAAAACATGGAACAACAACCCTCAAAGACCATAAAGTTAAAGAAAATGAAACTAAAATTTAAAAAAAATGAATTGAGTCTGTACCTTGAATTCTCCAAACAGTACCTGCGGATACCAAGCTATAATTAAGACACAGCACACTGCATCTTGAAGAGAACTCCAAACTGCCTACACATTGAAAACAATTGGAACCTTTCAGGCAAATACCAGCAGTGCACTGAATGTCAGTGTCCAGAAAGCACTCTATGATTTCAGAACATGGCAGGAGAAACAAAGGCCTATTAAGTACTTTGTGCCCCACCCTCTTAGGGACTTATATGTCATATGATAAAGTCAAATATCTAGCATTCTCCACATACGGTGGTGCTTCCTAAGACAAAGGATGTGGCAGTTGTAAGTAAACCAACACAGTTCTAGTAATTAAAATATCTAAATTTAGTCTCTCTACAGATAGCTTAAGTCTGATATAAAATTGTGCATAGAATTGTTGAATATTTTTAAAAACATTTTCTGAATCTGTTGTTAATTCACCTTATGATTCATGATATTGGGGTGTTTTGATTTTCTTTTGTTATTCATTCCTTTTACTGGCCAATTAAGACAAGCATTTCAACCTGCAGATTTAGGAGACCAAATATTAGATTTTGGGTTTTTTTTTTTTTTTTTTGTTTGTGATACTGATATTTGAACTGAGGGCCTCATGCTTGTTAGGAAGCACCTCTATCAAATTGAGGCACTCTGGCCAGTCCCTTTTTATGTTGAGTGTTTTTGAGATGGAATTCAAGAACTACTTTGGACTGGGCCTGACTTTGAACTGCACCCTCCTGGATCTCTACCTAAGATTACAGGTGTGAGCCACCTGGCCACAAGAGTTCAACTATTAATTTTTACCTGAAAATGTTTGGTCATTTATCTTTGTAGAAAACACTGGTATAGAATGTTTGGTGCTAGCAGAGTGGCTCAAGCTGTAGGCCACCTGCCTAGCAAGTATGAGACCTGAGTTCAAACCCCAGTGCCGCAAAAAATAAATAAATAAGTAAAATATTGAAATTCCCACACTAAGCAAACACCACCAACACACACAGCACACACACACACACACCACACATCCTTTTTTCTTTTCTTCCAAGAGGACACTGGCACAAGTCAAGATGATCTCTGGTAGATATGAAGAAGAAAGAAAGGTTTGAAGGTTTTACCATCTACTCAAATGATTATGAAAACAGTTCAGTGCCTATTTTAAGGTGCTTGAGGGAGGCTTCTGGGGGGGCGGGGTGTGGCGGAGGGGTGAGGCGGGTGGGGCGTGGAGAGAGTGAGGAGGCGGGGAGGACGGAGCGCACACCGGCGAAGGGGGACGGGAGGGGGGGGGGGGGGGAAGGAAGGGCGGAACGGGGCGGCGCGGTGGGAGGAGGAGCGGCCGGGGGCGGAGGGGCGAGAGAGACAAAGCACTGGAGTGGTTTAGTGGCATTTCACTATGTAAAACCAGTCATTAATTGGTTTAATTCCACGTCAGTTGCTAAGTAAAAAAAGGTTTATTAAAGATAGGGGCAGATTATTTAACTGGATTGATTCTTATGAGATCGTACCTGAGGTGCGCAGGCGAACAAGCAGTCCTTAAATCTGGGAGTTTTCCCTGTCTTCCCCATGGCCCTCAACTCCATTTTAGTGGAGTATGATAGGGATGACTTCATTTTAGTTATAACACGGAATTTCACACAAAAATTCTCAGTAAAATTACCAGATGGACAACTGTAACATAAGTCATTCTCCTACCTGGAAACAAAACACTTTGAAATGTTGTCATCTATTGGTTGGTCATTTTATAAGATGACCTTAATATATTATAATGTGGCAGAGAGACAATCAAACAATCACTCTGCTATATTTTCTGATCCTCTTGTCACCTGATCAGAAGCTTGACTGTAAGCAATCTTCCTGGGGTCTATGTCTGATTCGATGTCCTTTTCTACCACTGACTACATTCTTAAATAGTTCCTGGGATTTTACAGAGTATTTTTATATGTATTCAGCTGTTCTACTTTGAGGGGTATTTGATTCTTATTTTACCACAGCCACTATTGGACTCGTGATGATTGGTCACTTTAGTAACGTATGACATAGCGGAAATAGCGCGTGCTCATCTGTTACCAACCAATAAAGTATTTGCGTTCTCGAAACTGTGGAAGAGAGAAGAAATGCTCTCAAAATTTTCCTCGCTTTCAACGGGTGTTTAATACCGGGACCTACAGTTACCAAAGCTACGCTAGTGCCCAGTGGTTTATTGGTCACCCTCTCTCTTAAAGCAAGCGTGTGCAGCTTGTCCTTGTACTTTAAGTTATGAGCTACACAAAGAGAAAGAGAGCCCACCTTATATGGTAACAGCATTGCATTTGAATTTAGGATGGGGCCGGCATACATGACTAGATCTCCCATTGTAAATAGCATTCAACGCGCCTCCAATTCAGGAGCGTCCATTTAAGTCAGGAATTAGGACCAATTGCAGGTAAGTACCACCAAACATTACTTGTAATGACCTAGGCTCGATCTAGACAAACTTGCTGTGACCGGACTCACTGAAGTTCAAACTCTCCTTATATGACCTAACCCCTCTGACCACATAAAGCCATTAACTTGAGAATTCAACTAGATACGAATGACATAGTGCCAGACCCAGGCTCTGAATCTAGTACTCTATTCTTTATTCTCTACCCTGCACATTTTGGTTATAGAGGAGCTAACAGAGTCGTTTTCTGTTTTAATAGATATAGGATATTCCTATAAGGAAAGAAAAGTTCTTTGCAAGTATACAACAACAGAAACCACTCTGTCGAGCAATAGCTCTGGTACTAGAGAGCATGTCAAGACAAGTAAATTCCATCAGCAGGAGTTTGTGGCAAAACTACCTTTGCTACAAAAAGAGTTTCTTGCTCAGAAGTGATGTTGTATATGAAGAATGATAATAAATAAGGTAGTATTGCAGGTCAAACAATGGTCTTTGTTAGATGCATCCTCAAGCAGTGAAAACAAACATACATCTAGAATCTGTATCTATCCCAGAAAGATAAATTCCAAATCAGGATAGGTGTATTTTGGCTGATCTGGAGAATGTTGGTGCCCTTGGGAATGTTATCTTACTAGGCCCAGAATCTACCTCTGGAGGTAGTAAATCAGCCAATTAGTCTGTAGTGGAGGTAGCTAAAGCAGACTTAAAAAATAGGTACATGAATTTTGAACCATTTTAAACCTTTTATGTATTCACAATTTTTACATGAGATAATTCAGTAAGTACTACCATGGCAGGGAAAGACAATGACATTCACTGGACAGGCCATCCTGAGGGTCTCTTCCAAAACTCATGCCTTCATTGTAGCACTAACAAAATTATCTTTACATTCTAGGCCCATTCCCAAATACATGCTCAGCTTGCACATGTTACTCCAGTGGACTTCTTGTATCTGATATAAACAGCTTTCATTTTTTTTTCTCCCAGCTTCTGACTGACCAGCTAATGTGTTAGAGTTGTCCTGAATCAGTACAGATCAATACCTAGGGCCTTTTTTCCTTCTATTGAAAGTTAATTTCCATTTATCATTGTCTTTTAGGAACATGACTGATCGAGCTATCAATCTGAACTGTCTACTTGTGGCTACCAGCACACTTTGCAAACTCCATAATCTACGCTACACTTCTCTGTGAGGTCCTCAAAATGAGGACACGTAGGTTTTTCTAGTAAGACCCTGATAACTTCTGCTTATAATGAAAACCTTCCTCTATTTTCAAAAGGGGAAGCATGGGTCATTGAAAAGCAAGCAGTATGGTGGTGCAAGATCCTTGCTTATGTAGTTACTTGTGCTTCTTGCAACCATTCTACCTGTCACTTCATTTAACAATGAATGCTACCTCCCATGTCAAAGTTTATGATTGCTACAACAGATAACACATTTGGAATGTTAAGAAGTTTAAGTTACATGGTACTAGTCATATGTCTAACTTACCAAAATCAAGGAGCAACTCAGGACTTCCTTTACTTTTTGTTTTTGTTGTTGTTGTTGTTGTGTGTACTGGGGTTTGAACGCAGGGTCACTCCACCAGCCCTTTTTTGTGATGGGTTGTTTTGAGATTGGGTCTCATGAACTATTTGCTAGAGCTGGCTTGGAACCTTGATCTTCCTGATCTCTGCCTCCTGAGTAGCTAGTATTATAAGTATAAGCCACCAGCACCTGGCAGGACTTTCTTTCCAAATAAAGAATATTTATAGGCAAAAAAACTGTGGTCTTATTACATAAACATAAGTGTCCTTATTATGATTTCCTTATGGAGACTTGCCAGAGGCTTCTCCCATCCTCCAGTCTATATAATCATGGCCTATATCTGGTGCAAAGCTTTATTTTGTTCACTTCCTATTAACATCTGTTAGCCTCATGTATCATGTAGTAAATGGGATGAAGTATGGTGTAATCTTATTGCTCCACAAAAACCAAACTACCCTGATTGTCCTTGTAGCTAAAAAGTCAGAGAAAACATCTGGAAGATCAATAGCTCCATACTGGGTGTCCAAGGCTGTGCTGATTTGGTCCATAAAAGCTATCAAATCTGGAATCATGGCTGCAATTAGAATCACCACCTGATTAAGTTTACAATGATATACAGTCGTTCTCCGTTACTTTATTGTGCATTTGCAATAGACAAGCATGAGGAAAAATATGAATGTTATTAGCAATGATCTTTTAGATCTCTGATGGTGTCACTAAACTACTAATTCCCTTAGCGATATAGTATTACTTTTGGTTTATTATCTTGCTCTTCTAAGCCTTTCTAATAATAATGGCACCTAATTCACCAATTCTACCAACTAATGTAGTACATTCATTCTATATCTTATAACTAAAGGACGAACAACCAATCTGGGAATTCTGCCAGCTAAAAATCATGAACCCTTTTCTACATTCTAAGACTAAAGAAAGCGCTACTGGATGGCTATATCCGAACCCACTGTGTAAAGACCACCGTTCGACCAATCTTACAGTGAACGACTGCATCATTCTAGAAAGCCAGATATCAGCATTAGTTCAGAATCATCACTTTATTAGCTCCAGTAAGTCCAAAATACTTCCTTTCCCCCTCAGCACCTAGATAAAAGGTTTCGGATCTCTCCAGGATGGATCCAGGACAGTAGACACATCATATACTCCTGGGCTTCAAAAAGACCTGTCCTCAGCATTAATAATGATTGTGGGTCCATGAATTGGCTTAGTCCTGGGAATCTGATAAAGGGTTAAGACTCCCACTTTACAGCTTCTGGTTTTTGTCGTGAGAATTAAAATTTTTCCACTTACATACATTAAATCATTCTTTGCAACTTGCTTGTATAATTGGGCCAACTTTGCTTCTGAAGTATAGCAAGGTCTTTAGTTTCTGTCGCCAGAATCTGGGTGGGCAGATGAATAATAGTCAGCACAAAGTAAATTCAATAGGTCTTCTGTGAATTTGTGAAAAAGCAATGGTTACTATAATAATATAAGGTTAAATGAGACTTCATAGAAAAAGCCCGGGGTGTTAATTTGCTAAGTATCTATAGGATAGTTAACGAGCCACACATATTTCAACCACTGAGAAAAATAAGTAAATTTTGACTCTTGAACTCCCCAAAATCTTGGTTTGATGTAGTAATAATGGTAAATGATGATGTAAGATTAAAGTTTAATTATATGATAAAAATATATAATGTAAATATCATAGTACAAAAATTATTAAAAGTTAGGCAGAAATACAAAAAGAAGCAAAAATGTCAGAATATGATACATAAAAATAAAAAAGGGATATATAGAAAGCTTAAGCTAAACAATGTAATAAGTGAATTTTAAATGATAAATTGGGGCTAGAGAACATATTTCAACTTTAAGTAACTAGAGACCTGTCACAAAAATTAAATCCTTAAACATGGTACATTTAGCAAAAACAAAAAGTCCAGTATTTTATGCTGTTTTAGACCACAGGATTTAAATGTCCATAAAATTGAGACAAAATTATTCAATCACATCATTGTGTGTTATTTTTAAAACTTCAAAGTCCAGAAATAATCCAAAAGCAGGTAAAAATAGTTTTTATTACAGATTTATCTATTTTTTAAGAAATTAAAATTAGAATACTGACTAGGTTGACAGTAATACAGAGATGATGAGAAATATCACTTACAAAAAGAAAGTGGCAAGGACATGATATCTGATTTTTTTGAGAAAAATATTCTCCATGCATTATTCCTAGGGAGCTCATGAATAATTTATAACCTTAAAGATTCTTAGAATTCTTTCTTTCTTTTTTTGTAGGACTGGAGTTTGGAATAAGGGCTTCTCACTTGCAAAGCAGGCAAACTATTGCTTGAGCCACACCTCCATTCGATTTTGCTCTATTTGCCCAGGCTGGCTTTGAACCTCAATCCTGCTCTCAACCTCCCAAGTAACTAGGATTACAGGCATGAGCCCCCAGTGCCCAGCTTAGAATTATTTCAGTAAATAAATCCTTTAACTTTGTTTATTCTTTAACTTGATGAAACAGCTCCTTTTTTTTCTATTTCCTCCCTCCCCTTAATCAATAAATATCTCCTAACCCTCTACTATATGTCAGATAATATGCTGGGAAATGGTGCAACCTGTGTGACAGAACCTTTTTAATTTGTTTGTTTATTTTTATCCTGTTTTGGTTTTTTGAGACCAATACTTTTTATGTAGCCCAGACTGGCCTGGAACTCCCTATATAACCCAGGTATGTAGCACCATACCCAACTTAGAACCCTTTCTAAAGTGTTATATTTTAACAAGCTACAGAGATTTACAGGACATTTCTTTGCTGACTTCTTGGTAAAACCTAAACTAACTGATGGCAACCATATTTATGGTGGTCATTGGATTTTTGCCAAATATTCCAGCTTAAATGAAAGCAATAAAATGATGGGGACTTAGGAGCAAGGAGAGGCAACTGCTTAAAATCTAAATCCCATAAAAGATAAAATTCAGAAGATGGAGCTAAGATCAAAGGTAGCACCACCCATTGTTCATGCAATTGAAAAGATTAAGATGTCACCAACAAATCATTTTAATTGGAAAATATGACTCAAAGAAA